TTTCCCTCTGGAATTTCTTTAAGACTTTAGGGCTGTTTCCCTCAGGTGCTGTAAGGCTGAGAGGGTGTGAGCTCCCAGCCAGAGCAGTGGGAATTTTCCCCCGGAATGTCCTGAGAGATGAAGCTTTTTTGAAGATGAAGCTTGTCCACATCCTCTAACTTAGCTTTCCTCACTAAGACTAACTAAAATGACTCCCTCTTCCCTTTCCATCTCCCTGGGAGAAGGGGCAGATCCAAACCTAACAATGATAGACAGGTGGCTTGCCCTATGACTGCAAACCAAAGGAAGCCACTGAAAAGAAGCAAGGGAGCGGAGGGATGAATTATTGTTGCCACCAATTTGAAAGGAACCAGTATTCAGGAGATTTTACCCCAGTTCCCAATTTTAAAAAGAACTGGCCGATTTGCAATGGAGGTTGCCGACTAGGAACCAAATTTACCATCAAGTTGGAAGGGAGGCTGTTCAATTGCACCTCCTCCTTTATTAAGAAAGTAATAACTTAGTAGTAATTACACTGTATATACTGTAGCGTGACTGGAGAGAAGAATGTAGATTTATTTGGTTACTTTTCCCTGCGTTTCTGCCACCACGTGAGGTAAGTTGTAATATTGTGAGAAATGGCACTTTGGACACAGAATAGACGGAGATGAGGCAATCTTCAAACAAAAGTTTACAATTTTATTAAGTACACAGCGTGTGGTTGCAAGACGTAACTTTTTCTTGTAGCACTTGGAATAATACTTGTAACTTTAACAGTTCATTCTTTCAAGTAACACAGTATCTTTCTGACGTAGAGCACTTGTTTCAGACAAAGTTTCAATACAGGGATGTTTCCCTTATTTGATCCTCCCTATATCAAATATTAAGTAAACTATTCTTTAGCCTCTCCTTAGACTAAAAGAATACCAGCTATGTTTTACCATTCGGCTGCACTAGCCTGAGAAACTTCCAATAGCCAAACCCAGCTTTTCAAAGCCTCAAAGCTTTGCTTCACAAGTCACTCCGCCACCTTTCCTTTCCTTCTCTCCCAACTCCTCACTCCTCACTCCTCTGAACCTAACTCCTCTAAACCTAAACCCTAACTGATTTTTAACTGTCGTTTTTTCAAACTCTCCCCTCTAAGCTCCTCCCACTTCCCTCTCTCCTGCATCGGTCTCCATGGCAACGCACATGGAGGACTCCTCTGACTTAGGCCGCTCCAGCATTACTGCAGCCAATCTAAACACAAATACAGTTAAAATCATACAATTTATAATCAACTCCTGTACAGCCACCTTTTTGCACAATCCCTGAAACTTTGGAATGCATGCAAACACTTAATAGAAAGAAAATAAAGTTGGAGCTCCTGGCACAGACGCACCAGCACACTGAGCAAATATTAGGTGACCACTTGTTGAGGGGGTTGGACTGGATGACCTTTGGGGTATCCCAGGCTACGTATCACTCCTCATTGGTACCTGCTGGTGCTTCCTCTGCCAGGGGATGACGGAGCTGGGCCGTTCGCTGAGGTCGAGCTACCGCCCGGGGAAGATGGCCCCTGAGATGCCGGGCGCGGACCGCGAGGAGTGGCCCAGCTTCACCAAGGCCATGGACGACTGGTCTCGCTTTGTCTCCACGGCCGGGGAGTTCAAGCTGCCCAGCGCCAAGAACCGGAGTAAGTGGAGGGTGGGGCAATGGTCAAGCCACCGGGGTCTTCACTGGGACCGGCCCTTGACTTCCTCCCATATTCCTTCTCTCTCCCCTAGTCCTTGGCTTCAGCTGCTACGCCTTGCGGTACCTCAAACCGGACGTCACACAAACCTGGAGGGTAAGATCAAAGAGCATCCGACCTGGCATCTTCACCAAGGTGTCCTTCACCTGGACGGCAAAGGCCAAACAAGAAAAGTAGGAAATGTACGAGGGTTGAATGAAAAGTAATGTCTTCACCTTCGTAACTCCTCAACATATGGCAGTACTGGTATGTGGCAGGTACTGGCTTGTTCAGTAGACTCTCCTCTACAGTTCCATTTTGGTGGGAAGCCTTAGCATTGAACGGTTGTGTTGTTAAAGTGCAAAGTATGGAAACCTGTGTAGACAGTCGTCAATGCGACTTAAGCAACGTATGTGGCGGGTACTGGCTTGTTCAGCAGACTCTCCTCTACAGTTCCATTTTGGTGGGAAGCCTTAGCATTGAACGGTTGTGTTGTTAAAGTGCAAAGTATGGAAACCTGTGTAGACAGTCGTCAATGCGACTTAAGCAACGTATGCAGCAGGTACTGGCTTGTTCAGTAGACTCTCCTCAACAGTTCCATTTTGGCTGGAAGCCTTAGCATTGAACGGTTGTGTTGTTAAAGTGCCAAATATGGAACCCTGCACAGACGGTCGGTCAATGCGACTTAAGCAACATATGCGGCAGGTACTGGCTTGTTCAGTAGACTCTGCTCTATAGTTTATTTATTTATTTATTTATTTATTTGATTCATTTATTAACCGCCATTCTCAGCCCTTACGGGCGACTCAT